TCTCTTATACACATCTAGATGTGTATAAGAGACAGCTCTTAGTCTCATTGCTTTAGCTACCTTAGTGCTGCATTCGCCCCCCCCCTCCCTCTCTCTCTCTCTCTCTCTCTCTCTCTCTCTCTCTCTCTCTCTCTCTCTCTCTCTCTCTTCTGTGCACTCTTAGTCTCATTGCTTTGGCTACCTTAGGGCTGCATTCCCCGTGCCCATGCGGTAGACAATATACATCCGCCACAGGCGGGTCCTACCGGGTTGCCCCCCAAGAAGCTATATTATATCATAGTCCCAGGTCAAAGTTCAACAGAATGGAAATGCAGAATCCCGGAAATAAATTGGACACAATTTAAATTAAACAAAATACGGAATGAGGGAAATAAATTGGTCGCAAAAAAGAATACACCCCCATTTCCCGTACTTTCCTACTATGAACCAAGTAAGCAGAGGCATTCCTACCCAGCTCCCTTTGCCGCCTCCTGCTAACAACTGCCTATACTGATCCCCACGCCGATTTATACCATGCTATCGAGGTGCATTTTCCATACCTCCTCGCTAGCCCTGGAACCCCTGGCAAACTTTGCCAAGGAGGATGCGAAGAACAAAAGAAGGCTTTAGGTCTTCAAAAAATTGTTCTCCTATGCGTTCCGAGGGGGACCTCGTGCAGGCGCTGTTTGGCGACGTACATACGTAACGTGCAACGTTCCTTCTTTTTTATCTTTTTCTTTTTGTCTTCTTTTACCATCAGTTGCTGGTGCGGTCATCTGCAAGTTTCCCGTTTTTTTAGTACTCTCATATTCTGCGACAAGGCCACCATGGAAAATGCAGATTTTCAAAACAACAAAAAGGATCCTGATTTTAGGACCGTGCACATGGTTCGCTTCCGTGGTGACTTTTGCTGGCCAGCACGGGAAATGCTGTTCCTCAGGAGAATCCAACAAAGCGCAGACACGTGGTTCGGGCACCTAGTTCCGCCACGTGGTTCGGATTCCGTGGGACTTTTGCTGGGCCAGCACGGGAAATGATGTTCATCAGACGAAGCCACCAAGGCGCACACATGTGGTTCCGCCACGTGATTCGGGTACTTGGTTTCGGCGCGCGGTTCGAACACGTCGTTCAGACAGCAGGTTCGGGCATGTGGTCTGGGCACGTGGCCATGGATCGGCTCGGGACAAGCATATCAATACGTCGGTTAGGCGGCAAAAAAAACTCTCTCCGTTTCTCTGTCGAGAGGATGTTCATATTATCAGGAAAACGACGTAACTGGTTACTACCTACTGCATGACCAGGACAACAATCACTGCATTATCAGGACACTATAATATACTGGTAATATAATATAACTACTGCATTATTATCAGGACAATTATATCCATATTATCACGAATGGATATGTACGTACCAGTTTCGGCAGCACCCTCTCGACAGTGACGGCCGCTGCTTCTGTCTCTGCGGTCTCCGCTGGCAGCGATCCCCCTTCTGCTATCAGAGACATAGAGGGTACAGTTTCCCTGGTAATTCTGAGGTCGTACGTTCTGGACATAAAAAGAGAAAGCCCATGGCGTTTTAATAACCGCTGAATGAGTTTGGTATCCACGGCTATGAGTTCTTTGTTGCCGCCATGCTCGGCTCCTTCCTGCTCAAACACGATGCTTGGGATCAATCCGCGGCGCCGGAGTTTCTTCACAAGGTTCTTCCCCGCTCCCGATCGCAACTTGGCATCAATCACGTCGTCCTCCTCCTCCTCCACCTCCTCCTTCTCAGCTTCCTCGTCCTTCTTCCCCCTCTCCTCCTCCTCCTCCTCCTCCGTGGCCATCGCCGCCGTCGATGGTAGTGGTAAAAAGCAGGACGCGTTGGTGCCGATGGGCTGCGGCTGCGAAGAAGTCCCCCGCGATGCGTCGCCTTCAGCGGGATGACCGCCCGACAAGTCCGCCGACAGATCTTCCGACAGCAAAGGGAATGTGGCCGCAGCCACGGCATCCATCGCCAAGTATCTCCGCATTAGCAATAACAACAAAATTGGTCCGCAGCGCCCACCATCCCAGCTCCACATTGCCGACCCGGACTTGGGTGACGGCCCCGCAGCAGCCGCTGCTCGCGCAGATGAAACCGATGATGACGTGAGCAAGCCAGAGACTCCTGGACAAAACCAGGTGGAGGAGGAGGGAGAGGAGGAAATCAAGTGATGAAGAGAAGGGGGAAAGCATCGGCGCGCGAACAAGCTGCTGCTGCCATTAGCCCACGGCGGTTCATTCATTCCTCCTCGACATCTGTGCCATCGCGCGGCGATGGCGGCGGCTTTCCTGGCAAAAGGCCCCATAAAGACTGGCTTACTTATTATTCCCCCCGCTTCCCCCCCACCCTCTCCAACCAATCCGTCACTAAATCAGCCAGTCAGATTCATGGGTCAAACCAATATCCCTCTCGATTGTTTACCTACATCCCTGCCGGTAAGCGACAGAGGAGAGCGAAGCCGCGTTTCGACAAAAAAAATAAGCAATTTGCTGACCTGGACGCCGTATGCCACCTCTTCCGGATCCTATCCGATGACGATCGGTCCCCCCCGAACCCTCCGTTTCTACAGTTTCCGATCCTTTTCCTCCCCCGATAACAGCCGCCTCCCTCAAACCCCTACTCTCCCCTCGGTCTGCTTCGTCGACAGTTTGGTAGCCGTTGATAGGTGGGGCCTCGCATTGAACGAAGATGAAGAGTTGGCGAAAGTTGCCCTGCTTCCCGCCTCCCCTCCCCTTCCTTCCTCTCCTCGCAGCACATGTTGTTCCTAGAGCAATCCCTCTCAAGCCCAATCACTCAATCAAGATTGATCTTCTCCGCCACCACAACGATCTTCGTCGGCCACGGCACTATGGGACCCATCGCCGCCTCTGCAATATCTCCTCCTTCCCCCCTTAAACTTTACTTTTCTCTTGTTGGTAAGCATTCCCGCCTCCCTACCAATCAATGGGTACGCAGCATGAGAAAATCGGTTCGCAGGTACGCGGGAGAGAGTCATTCACCGCCCCAGTCAAGGGTATTTTTGCATTCACTTCCTTCTAGCTGTACTTCGGTTTTTCTCGACCACGGTTCAAAGCCCGCCGGCCAGAACACCCGCTCAGACAAACATCTACCTTGCTCTGCTTCTCTTTTACGCGACATTGATTAGACTACATTACGGAATTACTAACGTAATAATAATCCTCCTTCGCAGAAGGATCAGGGTGATGGATCTCTACAGCGCCACGTAGGATCCACCCGCATCCACGTAGGATACCCAGGTTTTTCAGCAAAGCCCGACGGTATTTATCACGTCGAAGGGGTTGATAATACCGATAATAGTCACGTGGATTTGAGCTCAACCCTTCTTTTTGCCCTTTCAGCGCCTCCTTCTCTGCCACCTCTACCTAAGAATCCCTCCCTTGGGGCGGCGTTTCAAGAGCAGCTATCTCACAGCGAAGGCTGCGGTGTGGTCGGTTGCCTCGTGTGTGTCAGGGGGTCTCGCTCCACTTACGAACGAACGGAATCTCGAAATTCACATTGAGAGCGCGTTGACAGCTCTCAGAATTCGCTCTCAATTTGAGCCAGCCTGCAAACTCTCAAATCACGTCTGCAATCGACGTATTTGAATAAATAGGAAGAGATCTGTTTGTTTTGTGAAGGGTGTCGTATTTGCATAAATAAGGGCATAGGGCATCTTTAGACACTCCTCGGGGACGTGAAATCCGCAAGGACGCGCTGGGTCCACCTGTCCTTGGGGACGTAATCGAAAAAGAACTGATAGACAGCGCAGCCAAGGGAACCCCGGGGGCCATATCGCAGTTGTCGAGGCCAAAGAGGAAGCATGTTGGGGAAAACATGAAACACGAAGGGGGCAAATATGGAAGGCCTCGGAGCAGGGGAAATATGGAATGCCTGCAAGGACTGTGGCCAACTGGGACCAAACGGAATTTGGGAAGTGGGACTCAGGACAACAAACAATGTGCTCAGACACAAGCTCACAGCTGTGTTCGCTGAAGTGCCTACTTACATTGACCCAGGGGGAGCAAGGGGACTATCTCAACTGGTTCGCACGAAGCATGCCCCACCCGGCCAGCGGGGACTGAACCCACGACCGCCTGAATGCCACTTGCATGCGTAACCAGCTGAGCCAGACTGCTATGCCCAGTGCTGCCGGAGGGCCAACTGCGATCAAATACATGTACCCATGAACTGTTGA